TCTCAAGGGCACCGCCGATCACGGGATACTCTACAAGTATAAAAAGGATGATCTTGTCGGTTTCGTGGATGCTAATTAGACTGGATCCATCGACGACAGGCGTTCATTCACAGAGTACAGATTTATAAGACGAATTTCGCACCATCGACTCGCGTCATCGATAAACGTTATAAAGTACACATTTTTGCCGTTTGATTTCACGCGCATTGGCCTCGCGTGGATTCTTTCGGGAAAGACACATCTTCCCCTGAAGACAAACATGACACTCGAAGTCGTCCTCTTTTCTATCAAGTTTGATACCTCTGATGGATCCACTCTTTATAGCTTTCTTGAGAAATCTGACATTCAAATGTCCCATTCGAATGTGCCAATCTTCTATCGAGTTTTCCCTTGAAGTAAACACTGTCACAGCTGATTCTGACATTTTGCATTCCGGTTCGGTCGAGTTTCGTAAATAATACAAACCGTTTTCACGCGTTCCTTCGATTAACACATTTCCTTTGTTGTCCAATACTTTAGCTTTGTTCTCACTAAATATCACATCGTGTCCCGCGTCGAGTATCTACTAATGGAAATCAAGTTTGTCCGTAGTTCCGGAACAAATAAAGTGTCACATAACTCGACGATCTTTTTATCACTGTACACTTCTGTCACTGTTGTCGCAGTGCCTTTTCCCGATATATTCGCACGCGCACTGATGGCAAGACTCACTTTACCGAAATCCTGATTCTCATTAATCTTAATGAACGATGCTTTATCCCTGCACATATGGGACGTGCATCCGCTGTCGAAACACCAGCCACTATCTTTCGCGACATCGTCAATTCGAAATGATTTATCCATCGACGTTTCCAATGTAGTAAGTATACTCAATTTTTCCGCTGTGCTCGCGGTTTCTTTGACATTTTTAGGCGTCCTACAAAATTTCGCTGTGTGACCCATTCTACCGCACTTATAACACTTTATTTTCCATTCCTTTTTCACCGAGTCTCTATTTTCTGAATTACCATGTCGATCACTTCTACCTTTATGTTCTGTTTTCCGAACGAACATAGCGTTTTGCACTGCACTTCTGTCAGTTTCCCGACGAGCGTCGAACTCTTCCGTAATTTTTATTCTCAGTTTTTAAGGTCAGGCAACTCATCGCGTGATGAGATTGCACAGCGAAAATTTTCAAACGATTCTGGTAAACTTCGTAGAAGCATCACGGTCAGCAGGTTTTTGTTGATGTCTACTTCCATCTCAGCTAACTTGTCCGCGACGTCGAAGAATGTACGCGAATGCTCTCGAGCATCATCGCCCTCCTTCATTCTTAAGGACATCAAGGTATTCAACAGTGCGGCCCTCCGTGCCGGACCCTTAGGCTGGTATATTCCCGCTAGCTTGGTCCAAATTTCATGCGTGGTGTCGCACCCCTTGATTTGTTTTATCTCCGACGGATTCATCGCGAGCACAATGTCCGATTGCGCTTTCAAGTCACTTTTTGTCCATCTGTTCGCAGCTTCAACCGTTGCCGCGTCGCCTTCTACTACCACGGGTTTTGCAATAGTCCCTTGAGCATAACCCCACATATCATTTTTGATGAGCACCGCACGCATCATAATCTTCCAGGTCTCATAGTTGTCTTTGTTCAAGACATCAAAACGCACGCCCGTTGTATTCATAATGACGAGAGAAAAAGTTCGCGAAAATTACGAAACCAAAACAAACACGAGGGACGCGCTGGCGATTTAAAAAATGGCCGACAAGACGCGATTAGGCGTCACGACAGATTTTTGAATTTTACTCGACAAATACTACGCGGCCTGGGCCCATAACCTGTTAACGAAAGGTTCTGATGCCAGGGAAAACGGTAACACACAAAATATCTGAAACTGGGTTTTATTATATACTTAGAAATACAAAAGGTAAAAGATAATTAGAAAGCCGATGTAACTCTTAACAGAAGGTAAAAACCGGAAGTGAATATACATAGAGAAAGTAACTATTGTCCGAAGGGGAACACAAGTGACATCTGGAGTAGTTGTCCAGAAAGGTTGGATCGTAATTCAAAAGTTCATTTTAGTTAACAAAAATATTATTTCCAAATTTTTTTTTGATTTCATGAAAAAAATTGATTTTAATGATCAGCGTCGACGCTAAATTTAGGATCTAAGTTTTTGTGAAATTAAATTATTTTCAAACCATTTTTTCATATTTTTCTTCAAAAACACGATTCTTTTTTTCAGAAATTGTAACAAAAATTCTCAAAAATATAAAGTTCGATAAAATTTGACGAAATTTACAATTTTTTTACAATTTTGCAATTAATTACTTTCGGGAATTCAATTATCTTAAAAAAATTGTAATTAAAACTTTTCTAAAACAAAGTTTTTTTTTAAATTTATAAATTTCATTATTGAAAACTGCAATAATTTTGTTAAATAAATATTTATATGCTTTTGAGTAAGTTCTTTAAAAATTCAATTACCCAGGTGCGAAAAGTTGGTCGGGCCATGGTCGCGCCGACCAAGTGGATAGTCGTGCCGACCTTGGCAGCCAAAGGTCGGCCGAACTAGTGAATTGTAACACCCGCCGTCCAGTGGCTGACATGGTCGGGCCGACTATGGCTGCCAAAGTTGGGCCGACCAGGGGTGCCAAAGTTTTCCCGACCATGAGAAAGAAGGTCGGCTTCATTTTGGCAACCATGGTCGTGCCGACCTTGGCAGCCAAAGGTCGGCCGACCGTTTGCAAAAAATTATTAACTTTACAATTAACAGATATTAAGTGATATCTTAATATTCATTATTTATTTATTTATTTATCGCATTCATCTTAACACTAGACGCAATCTTATACATAAATACAAATTAAAATTTCTAACGCTCGCAGGGATCGAACTCGCAACCTAACGCACCGAAGTCTAACACGCTAACCATTACGCTACGCTTACATGAAAGCCTAAGAACAAAAATGAATTTATAAGCTGCAATTTAAAAAAAGAAATTTGTAATTTATAACGATTAATAAATCAGATAACGTTTATTAGTTTTTGTTTAATCCATTTTAGCTAAAATAATTAACACAAAAACTTTTAATTTCTACCATGGCAGTATAGAAATGTTTTTTAAGATGGTCGGGCCAACCGTGGCCAGAGTCGGCCCGACCAACAGAAATTAGGTTTTTTACACTCTGGCTGCCATAGTTTTACCGACCATCGGCCCGACTGAGGCCAGAGTCGGCCCGACCAACAGAAATTAGGTTTTTTAAACTCTGGCTGCCATAGTTTTACCGACCATCGGCCCGACTCAGGCCAGAGTCGGCCCGACCAACAGAAATTAGGTTTTTTACACTCTGGCTGCCATAGTTTTACCGACCATCGGCCCGACTCAGGCCAGAGTCGGCCCGACCAACAGAAATTAGGTTTTTTACACTCTGGCTGCCATAGTTTTACCGACCATCGGCCCGACTCAGGCCAGAGTCGGCCCGACCAACAGAAATTAGGTTTTTTACACTCTGGCTGCCATAGTTTTACCGACCATCGGCCCGACTCAGGCCAGAGTCGGCCCGACCAACAGAAATTAGGTTTTTTACACTCTGGCTGCCATAGTTTTACCGACCATCGGCCCGACTCAGGCCAGAGTCGGCCCGACCAACAGAAATTAGGTTTTTTACACTCTGGCTGCCATAGTTTTACCGACCATCGGCCCGACTGAGGCCAGAGTCGGCCCGACCAACAGAAATTAGGTTTTTTAAACTCTGGCTGCCATAGTTTTACCGACCATCGGCCCGACTCAGGCCAGAGTCGGCCCGACCAACTAAAATTAGGTTCTCTAAACTCTGGCACCCATAGTCGGCCCAACCTTGGGTGGAAACAGTAACCAAAGTCGGCCCGACTTTGGCTGCCGACCTATTGGCAGCCATAGATGGGCCGACCTGGGCCCGACCTGCCAACTCTGGCGGCCGACCAAAATTCGCACCTGGGTATTATTCAAATGGAAAGAAATTTTTACTAATAAATTAAAAATAATTTTAAAATTCAACTGCTTTTAATTCAATTTTATAAAATTTCGATTAATTAAAAATTTTCAATTGAATATGTAAATTAAAATTTCAAAAAATACTGGTATGTAAATAATTTTAAAATAATTTTAATTACTATTTTCTACAATTTTAGACCAAAATTCTCTTCTTACTCAATTATTTTTAATATTTCTCAGAAAGTTCTTTAAAAATTAAATTATTTGAAGAAAAAAGAAAGTATAGGTATTTTAAATAAAATTAATAAACAACTTTCTTAAATGAAATCTTACAAAATTTCGATCATTTTGAAAGTCTTCAATTAATTTTATATTAAAAAATTCAACTACTTTGAAAAAAATTTTAATTGAAATTTGAAATTTGTTTCAGTTGAAAAACTTAATATTGTTCAGACATTTAACATTTAATTGTTTCAAAAAATTTTCTATTTATATCTCACTTATTTTGCATAATTTTTAATTAAAATTTGTCTCTAATTTAATTATTTTTAGTAATTTTCAGAAAGTTTTTTGAGAATTCAATTTTTTTAATACAAAAATTTAATTTTGAAGAAAAATTTTAAAAGTAACTCTTTATTATTGTTGCTTTAAATTTTTAAGGTGAAAAAGTTAGTTCCCGGACATTTTAAAGTTTTCAATATTTTCAAATTTCACCAAAAAGCTGAAATTTTACAAAATACTTGAAGACACTTTACAGAAAGATATTTGACTAATTATTTTTCCCACTTTAAAAATTAAAATAAGTAGATAGACTACATATTTTATAATTGATGTATGGAGTAGTATTTTATACCAAAAAATTGGTCTTTTGTTGCAATATGTGGAAGAAAAGTCGAAATTGTCGCATTTTATCAAAATAAGCCGAAAAAGGTAAAAGAAGTCTTATTATCCGAAGCCTGGATATTTAAAAAAAATCACTTTTGGTAAAAAGAAGCATTTCTAGTTTATGATCTTAGAAATTGAATTAAAACGATTTCTCACCAAGGCATTCCTGACGGCGACCAACTTGTCACCAACAACGAGTCTCCCGTCTACCTGAGCAGCTCCGCCCTCCATAATTTTTGTGACATAAATACCATTGTCTCCGGGGATGTGTTGATTTCCGATACCACCTGCGATACTAAATCCCAATCCTTTGTTGCCCTTAATCAATTCTATTTCCATTAATTGCGTGTGCCTTCGTCGCCGGACGTACTGCAAACAAAAACAAATAATCAATCGTTTGCAACTTACAATATTATTAAACAATTACAAATATTTACATTATTTTGTGATTCATAATTATACCATTCGCATTATTTACATAATTTATATTCCCTGCGCATGAAACTTAATTTATTAAGTTACTAAATATGTAAGCAAGAAATTTAATTTTTTTTAAAATTTGTAACACGTTCCGATGAAATATAAAAATTACTCCAACGTTTCAAAATCAATACGATTTCCTGTTCAGAGAGTCTACAAAATAATACAAAAAATAAAAATTACAGAAAAAATACATACAGAATACAAAAAATAAAAATATATTAAAAAATCTTTTGTCCGAATGTATTTGTATAAAAAATTTTTTACCTACTACTCCAATTAAAACCAACTCGGACGTAAAAGTTTAATTAATTCAATTATTATTTTCAAGAATTTTTAACTAAAATTCTTCTTTAATTAAATCGATTATTTTTTTTAATTTTAGAAAAAATTCTTTGACAATTTTCAAATCCATTTGTTTCCAATAATAAATTTCACGTAGTATCAATTATTTGTAAATTCTTCAATTAAATTGTATATTATTAGAAAATAAAAAATTTACAAACTTTTCGCCTTTTCTCAATCAAATTACGGACTTTACGGACCTTTTTTAAAAAAAAAACTGATTTTTGCGGACTTCAAGCAAATTTACGGACTTTTACGGGATTTAAGGACCTAGTTCGAGCCCTGTTACAGAGGCAAAAACTTTTAGGTTATTTTTGTAACTGTTGGAATGAAAATACACAAAGTGGATCAATTCTCATTATAAAGCACTCATGTTTATGTTTTTAGTATGTAAATCTAAAATAATTAATAAAAGCTGATTTTAATTTTACGCAATTAAACAAAAACTTTTAATTAAGGTAAAAATAACACAAATATAACCTTAGAATGATTTGTTTCCAAACCTTCTAAAGGCACCTTTTTCGAAACGTGTCACATTTATTAAAAAAATTCTAAAATCTGTGCATTATAACTTCTCTTGTAGTTTTAATTTAAATTTTAATTGAAATGGTAATAAACGTATACGTATTTTTTAGAAAATTCTTCCTTTTTCCGAGTATGTAATTGGTGCAATGACGTATTTCGATTCTGGTTTTTCAAGACTTCGCCAACTGATAGAAAAGCAATTGAGAAAAAAAGAACCAAGACGTTCCAAGTGGTTCTAGACTATTTACTCAGGTGACGGAGCAACGTTTTGAGACGGAAATGAAAAGCGAAGATAGAAGTTAGAAAAATACGTTTGAAGTCAAGGGAACAATTACATACACGAAAAAGTACCCAAAAAACAATTTTATTTTCTCACTTTGCTTTTGTTTTGCATTAATTTCATTCTTAATGTATTTCGCTCTTTGAAAAAATTTCAAACCATGATAAATAAAGAAAGAAAATTTAGTTTTATTACTTAATAAATTTTCGCCTTCAATAAGATTTAAAAATTTAATGATATAAAAAAAAGTCAATTTTATCCGAGTAAACTTTAAAGATAAAATTTCACTTTATATTATATATTAGTTTTTAAATTATTTTTATCATTAGCAAAGAATTTGAGTTAAAACATCAAAAATTAAATTTTATTCTATATTAGTTCTATATTAAAATATTTTCATCACTTGCATGGCGCTTTAAATAGAAAAATAAGATTTAATGAAAATATACAAAAATGAGATTTCTCCAGTTTTTGATGTTAATATTGAAATATTTACAGAAATAGAGACTTTAGATGACAAAAAAGAGGAAGAAGACAATTTTACTTTATGTACTTTTCTAAAGAACAGAAAGTGAAGTAAATTCTCTTGTATTCAAACAATAAGAAGTAGTTGTCATTTTTAATATTAGATTCGGAAACACTGAGTAAATTGAGAAATTCCTGACAAAACTATTTTTAATATTACAGAAAGATCTGAAAATAATATAAAATAAAACTTATATTCACAGATTAAGAGTTTTTTGTTTAATATCTTTAGTAATTGGATTTAATTTTACAATTCTTAAAAAAAAATTAGAAAAAATAAAATTTGTTAGAAAAATCAGGTAATTGTTAAAAAATTTTATCAAAAGTACTGTAAAAATATCAAATTTATAGAATTGCAACAAAAATGCTGGTTTTCCTTCATTTTCAAAAAATTTTAGTAAAATTAATAAAGAATTCAATTATTTTTATAATCGATTTCTTGAAAATTTTAATTAATTAAAAACTTTCCAATTACATGTTTGTAAAAATTCAATTATCTTTAAAAAATAAAATTGAAATATTTAAAAACCTAATTTTTTAGTTTGTAAAAATTCAATTATCTTTAAAAAATAGAATTTAAATATTTTAAAAAACTAATTTTTTAGTTTGAAATAATACTTTTTCAAACTTTAATATTCTTAAAGAAAAATTGTATTAATAATAAAAATAAATAAATCAGTTAATTTCATAAAGATTTACCTAAATTAATAATAATTTTTATAAGAATTCAAGTTTCGAAAAATATTCAAATTCTAAAGATTTGATTTTCAAAATGTTTCAGTTCTAGTATTTTCTAAAAATTATTGAATTTTTATGAACAAACATTTTAGAATTTTTAAAATAACTAAAATTTCAAATCTTCATAAATTTTGAAAATAATGTATTTTGACACAGTAAGTATAACTAGTTTTAATTTAAAAATAGGTAGACACTCCTTAAGGCGGTGTCAAAGTAGATTGGATTTTTGCATTGAGCTTCAAAGGGAAAATCGCATCGACTTTGACATCCCCTTAAGGAAGATTCTGACAAACAGTCAAAATACAAGTTAGTTCAACGTCATAATTTCGTATTTGAAAAGAAAACACCAAATTCGTTTTGATAGAAGTGTTAATAATTTAATAATTAACATTTTAAACTATTTAAAGTTGTATTTGGATAAAAATATCCAAGTTTTTGTCAATAAGGAACATCTCTTAAATTTTAGGTTATGTTTTTTATTGACAGAAATTTGTAATTATTATTCAAATGCAACTTTTAATTGTTTGATATGTTGAAAATAAAATCTTTACTTTACTCTTTCACAAAAACGAATTTAAAATTTATTTTTTATAATTCCGATTTTTTGTCAGATTCTTCCTTCAAATTCGTATCTAAATTTTAATTTTGTAATTTTAAGAATTAAGACAGTCGGTTTTAAAAGTTCACACTGTAAAAAAGTTGGTGTAAAATAACACGAAACTTGTAATTTCACACATCAAAATTATAGGTTGTACGTAGTAAATTAATTTCGTTCCAAAAGTAGTTTTACTATTCACAGTATTTTTACATAATATGACTATGTAATTTAACAAATTTGTTTAAATTTACGTTCTCCAACATTGGAAAGTTTGGTCACTATATGTCCCACATGTATTTTTACATTGCGTGTATTTCTACACTTTGACGTAATATTACGTCGCACGAACTGTACAATTACATGGCGAATGTAATTTGTAATTTTCTTATTCCTTTAAAATTTTCAAAAAATTTTCAAGTTTTTATAAATAACTCTAAAAAAGTATATATAATGTACATTTATAGAAAGTATATGGTAATTTATAAGTAAATAATAATATTACAAAAAGTTTTGGGCTACATTTCATAAATACAAAAAGTTACGACTGAAAATATTATTTCAAAAAATATTTGCAGGTTATGTAGATTACAGTCGGCGTGTAAAAATACAACGTCGGACATAGTGACCAAACTTTCCAACGTTGGACATAGTAAATTTACACCAGATTTTTTTATTTTCTAAAGAGACGCATGCTTATTCCCGAAATCTTTTTTGACCAAATAGGTATTTGATATAAAACTACTTAACTTAAAATTCACATAATACACGGAAAAAATAAGTCGCGGAAATTTTCCTCGACTTTGTTGAAGACTCTCGGATTTAGTGGAAAGTGTTTTAAAAATCATATTCACAGTTTTTGAAGAAATATACTACATTTGAAGAAACTTTCCGCGACTGTCGAAGAAAATGAAGACTCCACGCGCATGTAACCGATTCCGCCACAGTCGCGGAAAATTACAAACCTGAATTTACTCTACAGCGTTCTAATTTTTAATTGACAGTCGCGGAAATTATTTAGAATTTTTTAATGTATATATTAATATCGACACATTGAATAATAAATTTAATAATAATCTTGACAATCAATTGTCATAAATTGTTAAAAAAAAATGATAAAAAAACAGTGTTTATTGGTTTTAACGCGCGCAACTTTTGTGCGCACCATTTTCCGCGACTCGTCGACGAAACCTTTTATGAAGTGTTAGAATAATTCCGAGACTGTTTTCCGCTACTACACGGAGAGAAAAATCAAGCGTTTGTAGTATGGACAGTTAAGCTTATTTCGTAAAAGAATGCACATGCGCAATATGCGTAAAACTTCTGCTGTATTTGTATAAATTTCTACGTTATCAGCATAAAAGTTCTACCTGTAACGCATGGGACGTCAGTATACTACGATTGCAAGAGATCCATGCTTTTTTAGTATATGTTTCATGCAACTGAGGTATAAAAACATGCCTCTTTAGCAGGACGTTCATACAAAATTAGCATAGGAAGTCTCCATACTACAAACGCTTGATTTTTCTCTCCGTGTAGGTTTCTAGAAAGTCCTCGACTTTTTTTGGAGAATTTCTGCTAAAATCGTAGAACATTTCTAAAAGTCTATAAAAGATTCGTTCATATCCGAGAGTCTTCGATTAGTCGCTGAAAATTTCTGCGACTATTTTTTTCCGTGTATGCACATTATTTGACATAAATTTCATTGTACACAAAAACCATTTAACATAAATATCATTTGTCATAGAATTCATTAAACAGAAATATTATGTTACATAAAACTCAGATAACTTAATTCCCATTTGACATAAAAATTATGTAACATAAATTTCTATTATTGACATAAAAATCATTTAACATAAATTTCTTTTGACATAAAATTCATTTAACGTAAATTTTATTTGTTATAAAATTCATTTAGCATAAATGTCATTTAACGTAATTCTCATTTGACATAAATATCATTAGACATTAAATTAGCTTGACATAAATTTCATTTGACGCTTTCTAAATTTGAATCAGCGAAAAGTCGCTGATTCACCAGCCCAGAGTATGCAGCTGATGAAACAGCGTATATACGCTGGAAAATCAGTGCATATACGCTGTTTCATCAGTGTATATACGCTATTTCATCAGCTGCATACTCTGGGCTGGTGAATCAGCGACTTTTCGCTGATTCAAATTTAGAAAGCGTGAATGTCATTTAACATAATTATTATTTAACGTAAAATTAAATTTATATAAATTTCATTTAGCATAAATTCCATTTAACATAATTCTCATTTGGCATAAAATTTACTTGACATAAATTTCATTTGGTATAAATCCCATTTTACATAATTTTCATTTGACATAAAGTTCACTTGATATAAATTTCATTTGACGGATAACTCATTACAAATAATTCTCATTTGACATAAAGTTCAGTTGTCATAGATTTTATTTTATATACAGATCATTTGACATGGAAATATAGGCGCGAATTTCAAAATTGGGGAATCACAATGTTGTTGATAATATCTAATTGGTTACTTTTAAAATTCGCGCCGATATTGTTATGTAAAATGTTATGTTATGTTATACCAAATGAAATTTATGTCAAGTAAATTTTATGCCAAATGAGAATTATGTTAAATGGAATTTATGCTAAATGAAATTTATATAAATTTAATTTTACGTTAAATAATAATTATGTTAAATGACATTCACGTCAAATGAAATTTATGTGAAGCTAATTTTATGTCTAATGATATTTATGTAAAATGAGAATTACGTTAAATGACATTTATGCCAAATGAATTTTATAACAAATAAAATTTACGTTAAATGAATTTTATGTCAAAAGAAATTTATGTTAAATGATTTTTATGTCAATAGAAATTTATGTTACATAATTTTTATGTCAAATGGGAATTAAGTTATCTGAGTTTTATGTAACATAATATTTCTGTTTAATGAATTCTATGACAAATGATATTTATGTTAAATGGTTTTTGTGTGCAATGAAATTTATGTCAAATAATGTGCATATTATGTGAATTTTAAGTTAAGTAGTTTTATATCAAATAACTATTTGGTCAAAAAAGATTTCGGGAATAAGCATGCGTCTCTTTCTGAAGACTGAACACGTCTGAATTCACAATTATTTTTGAGGTTATGTTAACTTTTCCTAATAAATGTTCTTTTTAATTATAATTATTATAGATAATATAACCTCGAAATAATTACTTTGACAAATACATAATTTATAAATGGCTATAAAAAATGGTAAGGAAGTTTGTTTTTATTATTCTTACCAATTTGACGGTATTTCCGGCACGTTTGAGGGCATCGACGGCGCTTGCATGAAGAACGTCAACAACAGTCACATCGTTCACCTGTAGTATTGTGTCGTTAACGCGAAGACGACCGTCGGCTGATGCAGCTCCACCCGGGATAAGTTTGGTAATGTAAATAGCGGAGTCGTTTCCGAAGTGTGGATTATCAGTGCCGCCGGCAATGCTGAATCCAAGTCCGGCGCTACCTCTCTCGAGAACGATCTCCTCGTATTCCCAGTCGTCATCTCCATTGACCTGGAAAACGACAGAACAACCTCGTTATTCCCCTTAAGTGCCTCGCAATATTCCCAGTCAAATAAACGTCTGGCAAATACTGTTTTCACGATTGAACGCCTTTTACAAATCATTACCAACACCCTTTAATGCACCATTTCATTTTAATTGCCATATTCATGCGCTAAATTATTATTATTATTACTTTTATTTGTGGTCTTTTTAATTCATTCTTTCATCTTTTTCTTTCGGTTTTTTAATAAACGTATATTTTTTTTTTGATTCAATGGCTTTTTGCAAAGCAGATAGCCAAAACATTAATAAAAGTATAAGGGCACTAGAACTACTCAAAAAACTTTTTTTTTTTTTTTTTTTTTGGTTACATGACTCCAGGAAGGAAGAGTAAGGAGACCGAACTCTGTGCAGATAGCGCTTTGAAAATGTCTGAGAAATATGCACGAAAAGTGCCAGGTTCGATGCGTTCTAGTCGACCACCAAATAAGTTGATCATGCGCATAAGCTGTGTTGTGTCTCTGTTTCTCGTAAAAATTGTGCGAGTGAGATGTAATATCTAATGTTTACATTTAGCCGGTCTTAGTGAGATACATATATAATACATTTCGTTTTAAAAATTATTTATTTATTTTATTTAAAAAAATGTCGTGTTGTGTGCCAGGATGTAAAGAAAGAAAAAGAGTCTAAAAACATTAGTCTCTTCTATCCTTCTACGGTATGTAAATATATACTCTAGTTATAAACATAATTCTTCTTAACCATTTTCGCAAAATTTTTCCTTTTTTATAAATATATTATTAAATTATTTCGGAAATCTAAATAATATCACAATTACAAATAAATAAATTTGCTTTTCAAATTAACACAGTTTAAACTATGTAATATTTACCTTGACATAACCACACTTTTCATCTATGTCAACACTGAACTTTAGTTCAATGCGCATGATCGACTTATTTGGTGATCAACTAGAACATAGTGAGTCTGGCACTTTTCGTGCATATTTCTCAGACATTTGTATATGAATTAATGTTTTAACATTCACGTGACGCTTTACAAATCCTTCGGAAATAATTCCCAAGTCGTTTTACGTGTTCTTAATATCGTCTTAATTGTTATCGTGAGTAAATTTACTTTCGTGAATTCATCGCGTGACACTAATTAATTAAGTGATAGGGACACAATCATAGCGGTAGTAATTCGTAAAAACATACATACGTGCGTGTTAGTGCAAATTTTAGAGCAGGAGAACTTACTAAATGCGGTTCTTTACAAATATATTTAATTTTTTTAGGTTAAAATAATGATTTATTCTAATTATTAATCAATCTTTTACGTCCGAAAAATAGTAATTATAGTGAAGGAGAATAAAACGAAAATATATATTTTTTAATTAAATTATATATATAAATTATAATATATTTTTTAAATTTTATAATTTTTTTATTGACGAATGCTAAGTTTAATTTTTTTTTTTGATTGACGAATGTTAAGTACGTATTTTTTTGTATATTATTTTATATTTTTTGTATATTATTTTATTTTATCTTTTGTATATTAATTTATATTTTTTTGTATTTTATTTGCATATTATTTTTATATTTTGTTGTATACCTATTATTTATATATATTTTTTGCTTCCTCGTGAGGAAGCTTTGTAGTCGTTTAATTTACAAAAAAACCTCAAAGAGGTTTTAACGATTTTGGCTAAAATTTACCAGGTATATTTATCATAAAAATATCTCGAAATGGATTAATAGACTTTAAAAAATTCTCAAAAAAAAATTTTTTTTTCAAAAAATTTTTTTTAAGTTGGTTATTGAAGTTAATATATAATAAAATCTTATTCTTTGCATCAAGACAAGTCGATTGGTGTATAAAAAATATAAATTGTATGAGAATTTACAGAGTTATTCACAATTAAAGCTGAAAAATTCGCATTTTTATAAAAAAATGAGTTCTTTCCGCAAAATTATGTTGGCGTATAAGAAAATCTTACTCATTTATTTCTAAAATCTTATTCTTTGCACCAAGACGGATCGATTGGTATATGCAAAGTATATATTGTATTTAAATTTATAGAATTAAAACCAATTATAGACAAAAAATTTGCACTTTTAATAAAAATTCATTTTTTCTTAAAAATCATGTTGCTGTACAATAGAATGTTATTATTAATTAAAAAATAAATCAAAAATCTTATTCTTTGCATCAAGACGAATCGATTGATGTATATAAAGTATATATTATATTGAAAATTATAGAATTAATTACAATCAAATTTGAAAAATTCACTTTTTTACTAAAAATTTTTTTGTTTATTTAGATTTATATTACTGTATAAGAAAATTTTATTCTTTCTATTAAGACGAATGCACTTTATTTTATAAATGTTAAATTGTATTAAAAATTATTTAAAAATGAAATATATTTATCGTTAATGCTTCCTCCACAAGGAAGCAAATTTTTTTTGATGATCGTAAAGAGGAAGCAAAATGTTCATGTAATGAACATCTGGATTTACAACTTGTTTATATTATTTTATATTTTTTGTATATTATTATATATTTTTATAGACTCCCTGAAGAGGAAATCGTTTAAATTTCGAAACGTTGGAGTAAACTAATTTTGAAAAACTATTTGTCCGAATGTTTTTGTTTTATTCTCCTTCACTATGATTTATTCTAATAAATAGATGCTAAACAAGTTTTATAGACAAATTGTTAACTATTTAAATAAATTTTATTTTTATTTCAACAGGTAGTTCAAAGGGAGTCGGAAGGATACAAAGAATGCAGTAATTTTCCGGTCAATGGAGTTTCTTCGCAAACGGTTAGTTTTTTTTTCATCATGAAAATAGTGACGCATTTGATGCACATTGTGTATCAAATGAAAATAAATACTACTCGAATTCGGAGATAATAAAAAATCTCCATGATATTGAAAAAATGTTTATGAACAATGAATGCTATAAAAATTCGAAGATAAATAAAAGTCTCTAAATCTATTAAAAAATTATTTAAGGACAATGAATCCTACTTGAATCTGGAGATAAAAAAGTCTCCAATCTAGTGAAAGAATATTTAAGAACAATGGATCCTACATGAATTCGAAGATAATAAAAATTCTCCAAAATATTAAAAGAAATTATAATACAATGAATGAAACTTGTAATGTTATTACAAGAAAACACACGATGGGTTTGAATTAAGTTCAACCAAAAAAATGCTTTCACCTCCGATTTTTTTCTTGAATTTGTTTCTGGGTTGTCTCATGATCATTTTGAGCCCAAAAAGAACAAAGTCGCTCGAGCCGTTTTTGAGAAAACTTATTTTTTCTTTTTTTCTAAATATTAGTTAACTTATTTTTAAGAAAATAAATCATAGTTAGTATTTTATTAGCTTAAGTTCTTTAAATGAGTAGTAGAAAAGAGGATGTTACTGTTAAATTTCTTGCGGCAACTAATAACCATAGAAATTCAGGAAAAACCATGAAAAAACTGTTCATAATTTACTTTTTGCATATTACTATTTTCCAGTACATGTAAACTCAAATTTGTCTACACTAAAATTAAAGTGTATACAATTTTTTGTTAATTTAAAAAGAATGAAGTGCTTCATCTTTATCTGTCTAAAAGTTGCGACCTTCTAAAATCGTTTTTTTTGCATATAATTTCTTAAATAGGAAATAATTTTTCAGTTTTTTAGAAATAAATAGATTTCTATGCATCTAATGCGAGATCTAAATTTACTGCTGTCAAAAAAGAAAGCAAAGTTAGCCCGGGCAATCTTGGCAATGCCCAGTCACTTTGGGTAATGTCAACATTGCCTCCCAATTGCGGCCAATGTTTGAAAAATTTTATGACATTCAGCTTTTCCGGGCACTGACACATTTCTTTGAACCTTATTAAAAACATTCGGGCAATCTTGACAATGCCCAGCCACTTTGGGCATTGTCGACATTGCCCAATAATCGACCATAACATATATAAATCAGTTCAGGCAATCCTCATCAGGGGCACATGACAAACAGGATTTAAATATGTTAATTTCTAAACGGGGGTAAGTAACAAGTTAGATTTCCGCGATAATTTTTTAATCTACTTTGCATTGAAATAAAATCTTATTTAAAAAATTTATTTTTATAAGCAGTAATAATAGTATTAATCATGAAAAACTTATTTCTTTACTTTATGTATGTTTTTACACGTTACCCTTAGTAAAATATATTTTTTAAATATTGATAATTAAAAACTAAGGAGAAATTACAAAAAGAGGTAGGGTAATGTCACCTTGAGTGGACCGCCTAACCTTTTTTTCTAAAAAATTCTTTATGAAAGCAAATTAATCGGAGTTTTCTATTCCAAGCATTAGTTTAGATCCCAAAATAAGTGTTTATACCATAATAGCTTTGATGTTTTTTTATTTGAAAAAAAATTTCCTTTCAGGGTACAGTCCCATGCTGAGCAGAAAACACAATGCAAAGCAGAAATTCGTGAGTGCAAGAGAGATAGTCAGATATCACTATCCTTTCTACTCTCACGAAACTCTGCTTTGCATTGTGTTTTCTGCTCAACATGGGACTGTACCCTAAAACAGAAGCTAATTTTTAAGCAATGAAAAAAGAAAAGGTCCACACAAGACCCCTCCTAAGAAATTGCAAAAGTTATTCTAAATTCTTTAATGTATTTAATATTTCTGATATATTAATACAAAATTTATGCTTATGCAGCTTCAGACCATGTGTGTGTCGCAATGTTTGCAAGTGAAACCATTTTTAATAATTTTGGCACATATCATATCAATATCACAAAAAAATTAATAAAGAACATAAAACATAGTTTAAAACCACACGGAGAGAAGGGCGTAGTAGATTCTACTGACATGGCAGTTAAATCTACTAAACAGAATCATTAGGTTTGGACTGACGGTACAGACAGTGCCATCTACTGCACTGTTTAGTAAGATAGTAAGATACACTGAGCAAACAGTATATTCTACTAAACA